AAAAAGCGGACACCACGCCACTCCTAAAAGTGACGTCATGTTCCTGCGGCGTCCCCACTTGCATAGGCCCTGAATCTTACAATCAGCCCAGGCTGAGGCGATCTTGTCATCTTTATTTCGGACCAAGCGCGCACCGCGGTCGGACAAAACAGCGCCACGCGCCTCCTCCAGCAAACGTAGGCTGAGCTCAGTGCCATTCGGCTCGAAGAGCAACATGTCGCCTCCGGTGGCGACCACGTCCCACGGCAAGAAACAAACCCAAACACTCCATGCGACTGCCATATATGCCAATCAATTGACCCCCCAAACCACCCCAACTGATCGGCATATATGGCAGTCCCATGGAGTGTCTGGGAAATAACAATTAATTACAAAGTAAAACATAAAAACATTCAGTTCAGTCGTCGCACAGTCAGCTCCCTTCTTTTTCTCAAGTCTGCGCGGGGAGCTGTGGTACAAAAAATAAACAACAAGAACACATCAATAATAATGTTTAAAAACACATAAAACATCATAAAACAAACAAAACATGTATGCGTTCTTTTTCTCATCAAAAAAAGGGTCGTTTGGACTCTGGGCTTGGATGGACATATGGATGGACATATGGATGGACCAGAATGGACGATGGCGATGGGCGGACTTGCAGCTGTTGGGTTGCGAAGTACAGAGGTCGAAACGGGCATTAGGTGCCTTGGAGGCAGCGAATTTTTGGTGTGTACATGTGTGTACAGAACCTGACATTGAATACACTATTTCATCATTCAAGTGGTCGAGCTATATACCAGCAAGGCCCACAGCTCAGAATCAATTCAATAAGCAAGCTCCAAAGCGCTGAAGACTGACCTCCACCATCCTCCACCCCCTTCCAAGCCTAAGAACTCAAACATCTGGTATGGTCCTGAAGTGTGGCTTGCCGTGCGGTCCCCGTGTGCCGGGTGGCCGAACACGTGTTACTTACACTGAAATCATCGTGGAACCCAACCCCCTTCACTACGTTCATGTTGTTTCTTGTTTTATATGTCGAATAAAAACGTTGATTCCCCGAATCCAAACCATAGGCCATACCATTTCAACCAGTCATAAAGTCATAACTTGCTCCCATTCACCCCAAGCTTCCACCGATTCGACCGCCTCCCCCCTCTCCACCCACGGCTTTCACTCCTGACGCCGCATTGATCCGCTCCAACAAGCGATCCGCCACAGCAGCCCAGCCCGCGCTCGCGCTCGCGCCCGCGCCCGCGGCGCAGGTGGCCGCAGCGGTCCCTGGGCTTTTAGGCTGAATGAGGCGATATGTCACTGCATACAATAGCCAAGGTGTTAGTTACTCTTGGATGTGCTGGGCTGGCCTGTTTTCTCCGAGAGTATGTGAAGGGCAGCATGCAGGTCTGACTAACATTTGGACCCTCAGCCGGCTGTACCAACTTCATAAGCCTTGTGAAGACTGAGTTGAATGGAACCCCCATCTGCCCCACCCGAATCCACTCAAGATGGATGATCCAATTCAAACTGGTAAGTTTTCGAGAATCCCTGATAGGAGATGGTAGGCCTGAGTGAACCCCACTCCACCACTCGAACCCGTAAGATCCGCTGCCTGGCGTGCAGGTGAGCGGAATGCTCCACTCTTGCTGAGGCCACGCCACACCAAAGTTCCTGACTGGCTCAAGGTGGCTCCACAAAAACATAGCGCTGGCCAGTCCAGCACGCGGCTCCCAAGCAACATGTTGCCCCTGAAAGTCTTTGCGGAAGCCTCTCATTTCAGTCAAACCACCTATGCCTTGCATCCTCAGAGCTCTTGAAAGCGCATGCAAGACATAGCTAGACGATGTTTGGCAAAACCCTACCAGGGGACCCCTAGCGGTTGGGGTGTCCAGTTCTTCCACCCTGGGTCCTGGTATGTGTGGGTCTACTTCATACATTGACATGGCTTCAGGGGTACCCCTTGTGGGTCCTGGTATGTCCTGGTATGTGAAACCCACTTTGGACGTTGAGATCTTCAAGTTGGACGGTGAGTTTTTGGACTCGTGGACACAGCCCACCTCTCTTCCAACGAGCGGAACAGCGCGCGTGACCTCGGCGGCGCGGGCTACTTCGAAAAGGCTGAATTGGTGTGGAGGTGCATTCTAGACATCAAGAGATCATAAGGATCGAGGCCAACACGATCATTTTCGGCCCAAGTTCTTTCTGTTTCTTGTCTGAACATGATGTTTTATCCTTCTCCATGTTCAATGTAAAGAAAAACCGAAGGAATTTTTGATCGAAGGAACCAATACTCATGAAACGGTTTCTTTTTCGCGTCTGATCGCAGGGGAACACGTCGGTTCCACCGCCCGGCTCTCGAGACGAGAAGAACACGATCCACCAAACAGCCACATCGAGGTCAGGTGTGTGGGACGGTGGGATGTGGAGGGCGGGGGCCAATCCTTGCCACAGGGCAAATAAGCCTTGGACAAACTATAGCTATCTATAGACCAAAGTGCAGGGCAGATTTGTAGCTACAAGTAGCTTGTGGATGCTTCTGGTGTCCAAGCCTTGGACTTCACCTCTCTGCCATGTCTCGAAACCTTCCACCCCGGGACCCATCTCTCTGAACACGAGCACCGGTGTCCACATCAACGGGTGGATGTGCCGTGCCAAGTCGAATTTGTTCCAAGACATCCGAGAGAACTGAAGGACCGACCTACAGAGGAACAAAACGTGTCTTAAAGATGGGTTAGATGGATCAGGAGCTGAGTCCAAAGCCACAAGGCCACAAGGCCTTGGTATTTGTCAGGCAATGAGGTGCAAGTCATCCCGACTTTCTTCCACTTATGCTCTTGGTAGCTGAATTGCACCCTACGTAGGAAAACCAGACATGCGCATCATGTTCAGGGGTCAACTTCTCTTCTGCAAGTTCCCACCTCCAACTCCCAATTGCCGTGTTCCCACCTCTGATTCAATCAAGGGCACGTGTAGCGGAAGCCGTGGATGAAACCTCCCGGCAACCGGCCACACGGAGCAGGTCTGGCTAAGTGGTCGTCTGTGGACGCCAATGTGTTCAGCCTGTATACACTCGAACATGCGAGACTGCATAGTTCTAGTAAAGCTATTCTGTTCTCTACAAACCGGGTACTTGCAGTGTGAGAAAAAAAAAAAGTAAAAATGCAAGCAAGGAGCTCTGAACTACCTTTGTGATAATGTGATTACAAAAGAAATCAAAAGAATGATAGACTAATTATAGAGAATGGGCTTTCATCCATTCCATCCAGGTGAGCAAAGCCGTGAGGATGCTATTATTTACTGGTGAACAATGGAGATTTGCCAAAAATGGCCGGACTGAGCTTACATCCCACCGAGAAGGAGGAGTCTGAAACGGAATGGCCATAAACACGCATCGTTCCGAATTATTCCAAACATCTGAAATGCATTGCTGTAGGTCTGTTCTGCTAGTTCCCGTTTTGAAGTCCTTTCGAAAGACATTTAATATGTGACTCGGACACGGCCTCCAGCAGACTTGCGAAAGTCTAAGCTGTGACTGATGGTGCCAGCCACGTACAAACCAGGCACACCTGCTGAGGTCGTCGCATCAATGGTGCACACGTTCGACGACAAAGGCACCTCTGTTTGTAATCATCCAATAGACAAAGAAACAAGGAATCAAAAAACACCATCCTGGTGTTTTACTCCACAGGATGAAGAAAACCACTGCATTCACAGCATGTTTCTTGGATGCTCTTTTCGTTGCAGTGTCCAGTGATTGGTGTTGGTATTTCACATGATCACCGAAGCATCTGTTCCCAAGCCTTGGAACATGCAGCGGTCAACATGTGAAAATGTGTGGAGAAAAAAAGACTTGACCCATCCATCCGTCCATCCATCCATCAACTCCGGCCTTTTATTTCCCAAGCAGGTGTGATCTTGGGATACCTCCATGCGCAGCCGGGTTGGACGTGGCTATACTAAAAACCATCACTGTTGACCATCTTAACAGCCTCCCTTCGAAGTGTCCACCTTTTTCCGCTTCCTTTTCCAAAGCGCACTACAACATCACCCTGAAGACACGGCTCAATCGATCGACCGGGCTCAAGCCCGGATCTCCGAACACCTCGGGTCCCGGTCCGGGGCACTTGCCGTGGTGCGTCACGTTCACCGGGACCGTCTTTGGGTCCAAAAGCTCAGAATCGAAGATCCAACCAAAGCAGCCTCGATGCGAGGCACGAAACAAACAAAACGGGATCATATGGATGTAGATGGTTAGGTTCAATCAAAAAATCAAACCAGCGTAGGCGTAGACCCCAAGCAGTTTCCGCGTTTATGAAATAAGCCATAGAGACGAACTGTCAAACAGTCAACGGCTCAAGCCGTTCCAGCTCGCGGTGGTCAACTCGGACCCTCTGGGCTTGTTTCAGCACTTGGCTCAATAGGCTCAAGGTCAGAACTGTCAATTCAGACAAAAACTTAACAAATTTGTGAGGTTAGACAAGCAGGGGGACTGTAACAAGAAGGGAGACAAAAGCAGAAAGACCACCGGGGAGACACGTGGGAGACAATAAGTGTAAAATAATCCGGCCAAGCGTATCCAGAGTAGGCCGAGACAGTGGAGACAAGTGAAACAAGAAGGGAGACGGGCAGGGAGGCAAGTGTAGAATCATCCGGCCGAGAGCATACAAGCAGGGAGACAACCAAAGGGACAAGTGGAGACAAGTGTAAAAACATCCAGCCATGTGTATCCAGAGTACGCCGAGACAAGTGGGAGACAAGTGCAACAAGAACGGAGACAAGCAGGGAGACAAGTGGAGACAGGTGTAAAAACATCCGGCCAACTGTATCCAGAGTAGGCAAAGGAAACATCAGCCGAGGAACACTCATGCGGCTCAGGGGACCAGAGCGGACTGGGAGACAAGTGGGAGACAAGTGTAAAATCATGCGGCCCAAAGCACCCAAAGTGCGCTGGGACAGAAGGGAGACAAGTGGAAAACAAGTCTAAATTCATGCGGCCCGGGCATCCAACCCTTTCAACGGAGTAAGAACCCCTCACCGATAGTAAACCTGTTTGGGGAAAAACATCAGATGGAGTAAGATGGAGAGGTTTTATATGGTTTACAAGTCAACTGAAGGGGTTCCACTGCGATTGGGGAACAGTGTTGAGGCGAACAAACTCCTTTCATGTGGTGTCTTCATGTGAATGATTAATAAAGACCTCTATCTATACAGAACTATTATCTATAGACAAATGATGACGACAAGCTCAAGTGAACACATATGCAGGTACTACGTCGTAGTATAATGATTGAATCGTGCCTTACCAAAACGCAACTGATGGTTGGTGGGCAATCGCTCCTCCCGTCCAAATTCTTCAGCGCTACTTACATCTACTTACCATAACAGGACCCTCCTGGTAAGGACTCTCTGGTAAGGACTCTGAAGGTGGTTTAAAACCAAACGTCGCAAGTCGTGACCCGGTTGACAACGCATTGCTTGTTCTGCGTTTAAGCAAAGGATTGATGCCCAAAACCAAGCACGTAAACCACGCACACCTTCGACACATGCATCTCCCCACTGTTTGGTCCCTGTGCTCGCAGGTGCCCCCTTCCGTCAGTCTGAGCAGCGGATGACCGCGTCCTTGGTGAGAATGAGGCTCGAAACCCACACCTAATTGTGAAGGACTCATGCCCTTTGAACCACATGTTTGATGGGGAGATGCAGCAAAATCCTCCAAATGGCACAACCTGCAATGTCCACACTCCGGGCAAATCTGAAGCCTTCCCACAATCCTGCCTCCTCCGAACAAACATTTCCTGGCAAGCATGCTATAAATATCTGCACACTCTCTGGAGACTGCCCACGAAGTGCCACAGCACCACCCGAAAACGCCAAGCTTCACAACACCCCAAGAGAACACAAAGAAAGTATCTAAGCTTGCCTCAGATTGCCTCAGTCCATCTACTGACTACTGTGCGCCACCACCCTGAGTCACCCTTCCTCGCAACAATGGTTCCAACATGCGGATCTTAGCAGCTTGGACTCAGGATTTGGTCCACACAAATTACACTACATGCCTCCACCCCAACTAAAACCATAAACATCAAATATACAGTGTATATATATATACATCGATTAACATATGCTAACTCCAAACGCATCCACATGCCTTTCCAAGTCTCCATGGGGAACCGCAGGTGGTCGTGTCCCCCGGCCACCGTGCGCAGCTCCGCCACCTCTGCGGCCAGCTTGGGATTGCTGCGCAGCACACGGCTGCTGAGTGAGAGCCTTCCGTCCCAACGCGGCCGATCATCTGGTCGTGCACCGCGGCTGGTCATCTGGATAAGCTGATAAGGAACACCTGGATTGAGAAGCTAAGATCCTTGTGTTCACACACTCTTCCGATCTGGTCTTTATTAGGTGATCCATTATCCACTGTCAATCCACTGTTATCTAAGTGTTCTTTGAGGCGTTGGGTCTATCAAGGGGCAAAATTTGGATTGGCTTTTCTGGCCGAAAGCTGGTGACCAAGCTGTTCGGATGATTGTGTGGGTCTTTCAAGGTGAGATGGCTTTGGGATGGACACGAAGAACACATCGACTGCCACCCAAGATGTGGCCCGGGGAGAAATCAGAGTTTCATCATATTGATTGTGTGTGTGTGAGTAGTATATAAATAAATATAATTAAGGAAACTTAGACTTGAAGGTGGCAGTGGAAACACTGCAATGTCTAGGCCGTTGAACTTCCATGAGGATTGGCATGGCATCTGGCGAGTTACCCTGTAAACCTTTTGCCTGAAAGACCCATTTCCTTCAAGGCCTATGATTGTCTGCAGGGATGTAGTTGCCATGTTCTGGATTCTGAATGGTGATGCTGCCATGGCACTCGACATAGCTCACATTGAAGACTTCAGGGTCCTTAACAACAACAAAAACTGCAGGAGGAGAAGATCCGAGGACCACGCTTCATCGCACACGTCCATCGGACCACGCTTCAGGACCAGCAATCACAGTGCCATGGCGAGCTTTGGGACCAGTCCCGTCCATGGCGGTTCCCTCAACTGTTGGGCCTTGCCAATCCACTGCGGTTCTTTTCTCGTGGCGAAGACCGCCAAACACTCGACTGGATCTCAAGCAATGGGTCATGTTTGTGAAATGTCTTTCTTGCGTACCAGTGTCTTCGGCTCCATGTCAGGGTGAAAAGCACTGTAAACGTACCAAAAAATTCTGCAAGCAACGCCCTCTCCTCTAGAAACAAGTGCTCTTCAGTGTCCACCCTCCTCCCATGCAGGCCCGGCCACCGACAACACGACCGTCGCAGCGGCAATTCACACCGTCCGAGAATCCAGTCCCATCGCATCAAGCTGGTCGCTGGACAACTGCCTCGGGCCGGTTGTGTCAAAGCCTGGCTTTGGTCATTCCGATGTGGATCATGAGTGGACAATTGGCTCTTTCACATGGTAAACCAATGAAAATCTTGCTGAAAAGCATGTCTGTCCTACACATTTCTTATAGTTTCTTGACGTTGTCTCAGAACAGCACACCCTTGCTCAGTAGTTTCTGCTGTGCTGCAACGACTTGCACGCGCCGCCATCACTTGCGGGGCCGGTTCTTTTTTCACGGCCGACTCCAAGCCATCCCAAGCTCCTTCGAGTGAAGGTGAAGTCTAAGGAATTCTTTAAGGTGACACAGTGATGAACCAACCTTCCACACCACCTTCCTGAACTCATTCCACCGCACAGTGAGGATTCTTTCGACTGGGACGGTGCTTTTTTTTACTGAACATCCACCACTCCCGAGCCCAAGTGGTCAGCTGGGCCCCGGACTCATTGGGACCTTCCCAGAAGCTACTCTCCACCTCCTCCAGCTCGGTCTCTGCCTGGGCCAAGCTTTGACAGAATCCCAGTGGAGGGTTTGAGGGGTGTGGCGGACCCCTGCCAAGCCATATATACACTCCCTGAAAGAATCAATGGACATGGAAGGACATGGCAGGACCATGCCCCTGCACATGAAAGCAGGAACAAAAAGGACAGAATCATCAGTGTGGATGGCATCGCCTAGAAAACGGATAACCATGAAATTAGACCCAACTGCCAGGTGGTGAACTCCGCGGTCACCCTGATCCTGATGACTTCACGTAGTCACCCTGATTGCTCTGTGCTTCGTCACTGGTGCTAGGCCGGTCCGAAGCTTCGGTGTGGGGCCGAAGGGATCGATCCATCCCAGGTCTGGCCAGGTATCCCTTCCAATGACACTTCCCAAGTGTTCAAACAACAGATCTGCATACCTCACAGATTCGAAAGTTAATGACGGCTTTGTCGTGGCATCCTTTATCATCCTTCCTCCATGCCAACACTCGCCCTGCCCATCCATGCCAAGCTGCAGGGTAGCGGTCCGAAAGCTCCTTCATGCGCCGATGCAAATCGGAATCCTTCGCCGCGGTGCCCTCGGACGCCCGGCGGCGGTCTCGGTCACGGTTCTCTCTCCTCTAGTGCAAGTGAGAACGGGTTACATACAGTACAATAAGCTATAGGCTCATCTGATCCGGGTTTCATATTGAAAACAATTGGCACCTACTCACTGGTCACTTGGGCATCACGCGCAGCATATGTATTGTATTCAATGTATTCGTCTAGTCCAAGACTGCTGGAGAAATTCTAAAAAAAACTGAAATCCTCCCCAAACCAAATGTCAGTCAAAAACTGCACCACTGGCGGCCTAGCCGCGCCCATTTTCCCAAATGGCAGGCAATTGCCAAGGTGCGACTGGCAGCTTGTAGCTCAGGTTTTGCCCGCCCAGCGCATGCTGCCTAACTGAACCCGTCCGCGCCCGAAAACCAAACGACATGAGGGAAGCTACAACTTGTCCACCAGTTAAAGCAGTTTCCCTCTACATGCCACGTATATCCAGGCATCATCTAAGCAACCATACCGACATACCAGCTTGATTCTTCAGCATGCCCCAAAAGTGGACTCACGCCCTCGTAAAGGCCAATCACCATGCCTCATCCCTACCATGCCCCTTCCCCACACCCACGGCCGTGGGTTATATATAGCATTATATAGCCCAAGGACTTACTGCAGTTGCGGTCCAGGCAGTCGTCGGCTTGCACAGACCAAAGGCACAGTCGGCCTGCATCCAGGTGATCGAACACGGGACCGTCCGGTGACCAAAAGAGATGGACAGTGACCGTCGGACCGTCACCTGGGGTATACTATACCTATGGGATAGGCGACCTAGGTAGGGTCCTTCAACCTCTGTTGGTAGTTGGTGCAACAAAACCCCAACAAGACTTCGGGAAGAAGACCGAACGACAGTCGGTGGTGATTGACGAGACACCATTCATGGCAGCCAAATGGGCAAACAAGGCTGAGGACTCTGAAATAACTATATATAGATTACCGTAGAAGTCCAGGACCTTACTTTGTAGGTCCTCAGGGATTCTTGTGGAAAGTGGGCTCAAAAGGAACGTCAAAAGAATCATTGGACGCACGTTTAATAAGCTTGCTACTGGCAGGACTCTGCGGTCTGAATGACTGATATTGACTGATAGGTCAACACAGCAACGTCTTCCGGTGGTGGTTGGCTGTTGGCTGCCTAAGGAATGGCACGACCCCGGAGTGAAAAATCCATCCTCACTACTCCAGCCATCTTCCTCCAATGTAACTCTATATATATATATAATATAGCAATATATAGCACAAACTCCAACAACATGAATCATGAAGCTTGAAAATATCCATGAATTTCCCGTAGCCCGTGCGCCAGTTTGGGGCCGACTGGTCAAGCTATGAAGCTTCAGAAGCTGAATGAACCGACAGCCGCTCCGTCGCGGCCTCCACAGGGGAGGATCACTAATCGGTGCTGGCCGTTGAGGGCGTCAAAGTCGAAGGTGTCCAGACTCTTCAGCAGGTAGGTATCTGCCAGGTGTGTATCTAATGGGATGCATCCAGGTCGAAACGACAGCTGCCCCAGGTAGTGGCTTCATGCGACGAGCAACTTCCGTGCATACTGACACACGCGAGGAGTACCGAGTAATGGCGATGTTTCTGCTGTGTGTGTTGTTCCATGTTGCTCCTCTTAGTATCTGAACTGCCAGGGTGTGACGCAACTGGTTTCGCCCTAGCTGCCCCTGCACCAGGGTCAAGTTCAATATAATTCGATGTTGCCCATAAAAACTCTTCACGGCCTTGTTGCTGGCCTTGTTCCTCATCGGGTCTCCCGCGGGTCGCTCGCAACCCGAGCAGACCCTGCCGGTGCGCCTAGGATCGTCGTTCGGCCTGCCCGGATATCGCCCACCTTGGACGGATGGTCGCCAACGGGGCGGGTGGAATGTTCAGAACCAGTGGCCCATCGGAACAAGAAAGAAACTATACCCAGGAGTCACAAAGGGGTGTCCAATGAAGTACCCCACACTACCTATAGGCTTCCATTGGGCACCCCTTTGTGACTCCTGGACAGTACATCTAAAGCATCAAAGCCAAAGACATCATATGGCTTCCTATGATCCTCTTGACGTCCTTTGTGCCGAAAGCTGGTGAGCCGTGCGGAGGCGCGTGCGTCCCAGGCACGTAGTGGGTCTGGTAGGCGAAGCGGACCCCATGACCCCCCTCCGGGAGTGTCCGCGCGCGCGAGAGGAGGTGGACCTCCGAAGTGTAGTGCTGCAACTCCTGGATGAAAAATCAGCCAAGGTGGTCCAGGACGAGTGGAAATGAAATTATCTGAAATGCATTGAAATTCGATAAGCCGGAGTTCGCATATTGTAGCAAAAACAGCGTTGACTGGAGGCCTGGCGTTTCTTGTATTGTTGCTGTGTTTGATGGAGTGTGTCTCATTGAAAAGGACAACCAAGGCAAATTGCAGGATTGTCAGGCTTTTGCTCATACTCTTATGTAAGCTTGAAATCCACCACCTTACATATTATTTGTTTGATCACTGATTGACCTCCCTTTCCTGCGCCGTCTCCAGTGCAGCATTGCCTTGGCCCAGCACAAGCACCGCCTGACCTTGGAAGGCCTCGCCTGCGAGGGATGCGAGTGGACCGACAGCCCTGGTCCATCGATTTTTTGACTACAAAACTTGAGGCCAAGGGGGGGGGGGCGAAAGCTAGCGCTCCAGAATGGGAAAGTGGAGGGCAGCTTCGCTAGCTTTCGTGACTAGGCCAACCCTTTTGTAAGTCATCTTGGAAGGCTAGGGATCAGTTAGGGGATGCAGGTGGGACCTGGATGGTCCGTTCCAGCGGATGATGTTGTTGATGAACAAAGGCCTCTGTTCAAAGCTTATATTGTAAGCCTTTCCGTCGTTCCGTTGCAGAAAGGGGCAGCCTCCAACGTGCAAAACAGATTTGAAGATCGCCCATTCGACCCATTCGTCATCTAGCAACAGTCAAAGAAACAGTGCTTAGGGATTGGAACATCAGAAGTCAGGTGCCATGGCCATGTTGCCATGTTGCACACACACCAGTTCCAGTTGGTGAAGGAACGTCATGGATCCTCGGGTCAACTCACACGGCCACCGGGTCGAATGGCACCCCGAGTCGGACTGTGGAGCAGTAGACCAGGTCGGCTTCCACACTACCCCACACGACCGAAAAAGGCTTCCAAACAGGGCACCCCGACAGGAGGCTCCTGGTACAGACCAGTGGTTTCTGGATGAACATCTCCTTACATCGATCCATATCGATCCGAAGCTCATCGAGCTTCCACCGATCCGCCGGCTTCGATGGCGGTCCGTCGGTCCGTCGGTCCGTGACCAAAGCGCGCTTCTTTCACAGCTCCGAGCCTTGTCACTCGGTCTTGAGGGATCGTCATGGAGGAAGATCCGTGTGGATCTTCTGGGAGCTTCAACCATGCGGATCGTAAGCTGTCGCCGCGGCCGCATGCGTCATCAGGTCGTTTTCAGGTCTTCTCATGTCCTTCTCCACTTCCTCAAGCTAAATTTGTCTGACTCTCGCTGGTCAAAAACACGAAGTTGGCGGCCCAAAATGCCACACAGCAGACATGACCTCAGGATGGCTACCCAGCTCATCTCAAGGCTGGCCGGAGCTTTGACATGTCACGTCTTCCACCAGACATCTCTGTCCATCTCTAAGCTGTGGGATTTAGCGACAAAGCCTACCCGTCTGCCGAAGCCCGGAGGAGCACACGAAACTCCAGGGAAAACCGCGGAGAGTGGGTCACTTGTTCTGCATTTTGGAAGCGAAAGCAGCCATGAACCACTGCGTCAGCACCGGTTGATTGGAAGATCAGCGCTTGATCTCCTCTCAGATTTGGTTGGTACCGAACGCTGACATCGTTCATGTCCTCCAAGCTTAACCTTGGCAAATCCTGCCCAGCAACCATACGCCCATCCCTTGCAAGAAAACCCAAGTTGAAATCTGAAATCGGTTCCTCGGCAAGGTTCAACCACACATTCACTTGAACCCCCTCCTCAATTGAAGCGGTATTTTGTTTGTGATCAATATGAAAGGTGCTGTAGAAGCGTTGCCAGGTCTTAGCCGGCTCCTCTGCTCCCGCAAATCGTGCCAGCACCTTACCATGATGCGAGGCACTCTCGCTGGTGACTTCAATTGGGCAAGCAAATTGCGGCTGCAACTTCGTCTGCAGCCAGGCCGCCACGCAGCCGCGCTCCCTTGCCACCAGGGAACTGTGCATCTCATCCATGTCAAGGCCCTTCAAATAAAGCTCCCGAGTCCCAGTAATCAAGGGCCAAAGATCTTCCGCAGACTCCACTTGCACGCGCTCCATGGCAAACTGCGGAAGCTCCCTGAAGGCCAAGACCTTGACCTTAAGGCAGCGCCGGTGATGGTGCAAAGACCTAAGCAAATATTTTGTGATATACTATCACTACTCCCTTACCCCGGGGGGGGTCAGGCACCGCAAGGGGGAGTGATGATAGACTACTTCCCAGAACTTGCTTGCGTTCAGGGCTTACCTCTTCGGGGCAAAAAATCACCATAGACATCGAGGAAGAAGCACCCCATCACCCATCCCACTCACATGGCAAAGCCTGCTGCCAGGTGGACCGATCCCCGAAGCTTGTGCGCTAAACAATCGACCACGATGGAGGCCTCACCATCGCCCTCGCGGGGACGCTCACAGAGTTGATCCTCCTTCCAGCCATGGCGTGGACATTCGCCGGCGGTCATGGATGACTCCAAGGATAGGAGAAAAAGTCATATGGAATCACCTCAGAGGCCTCTTCTATTGGCAAGTGCTCTGTAGAACTGTAGAATGGAGAGGGCAAGGTTTGGGTGTCTTGATGTGTCTTGTGTGGTGCAAGGTTTGTCAATCTACCTGAGGAGCTCTCGCCCTGGCTCTGAGAGCCATTCTTTTGAGGGATGAAGCCTGCGGGCAATTGCAATCCTTCAGATATTGAAAGATTAACATCATGTTAGATGTCCAAAGGTGCTTCAACTATCTAAGTCGTACAATCCTGATATTGAAAGTCCAGGATTACTTAATAGTACGAGTGTTCTACTTCGCTCTCGACCCTCGCGCCAAGAAATCAGCCAAATTACAGGACATCCCCATGCCGCTGTCAGTGTCCAAAAGAACATGGACCTTGGGAAAGCAAGTTCAACACCTTGGGTTCTGCGTCTCCAAGTTCACACGCCTGAAGCTGGCAAGGCCTCGTAGCCCAGCAGCAAATGGCCTCGGAGGGAAGTCTGCCAGCGTCAAGGGAAGCGCGGGAATTATATAACTGGCCCATACCTCAAATACGACTGACTTCGGAGATCATTGTCCTCTACAGTAGGCTGCAGAAAACTCCACTAGCATCACAGTGGTGTCCTGTGGTTTCTACCTGCCTGTGGTACAAACTAGTTCCTGAACGGTTGTTGATGGTGGCCACCTGCAATAGGCAATGGGTGGCTGATAGTATGCATATATATATATAAGATTCGCAAACTCTGGGACACTTCCTGGGTGACATGACTACGCGTGATTCTTGAAACACACTTTTGATAAACGTGCCACAGACTCGCAACCATGGAACAATGATGATTACCCAGTGACAAATCCACTGGTCACATCTCGACGCAACTGAGCCATCCAACACTCGATCGTCGTCACTTTGCTCACCTTTTTGGGCCTTTGAACAACACAAGCACTGCCACCTATCACCAAGCACACCAATCGGGCACCCCGCCTTCCCATTCCCCAATTTCCCTATAATTGACCCTCAGGATGTTCCATCCAAGACTCCAAGAGCCAGGGATTGGTTGGAGGTACAGGTAGAGTAGAAGCAAATTGAATTTCTACTTGATTCTACTCTAATTACATGTAGCTCCAACCAATCCCTGACTCTCTTTCCATCCCTCAAACATCTCAAACACCTACCGCCCCGCCCCGCTCTCACTGGGCCCAGGGGCTGCCATCCACCTTGGCATCAGCTGGCCGCGGCCGGTGGAAACCCGTCGCCAAGATGAGCTCCCGGCAGACCGCATCACCTGCGCAGTGAAGAACATGACTCGCAGGAAGGGCCGCAGGGAGGTGCTCCTACCAGTAGTCACAAAGGGGCGGTGTTTTTTGAATGGGCACCCCCAACCTCCATTAAGCACCCCTACGGAACTGCTGGTATAAGAACACCATCTTAGCGTAACCCTAGAAGTCCAGTTCGACTATAGTTTGACCGACCGAAGGAAGTTCTTTTTTCGGGTGACCCAAAGGCCATTATTATGTTTAGTTTATAGTTATCGACTACCAGGGGTAAGACATCGGGACAGGTGAATTGAAACGAACGCTGGCTGTAGCTGGATGTTGCCTTCCCAGAAATCCCGAAACCTCAATCAGTGTCAAGGCCCTCAACACCCTCCCCTGCGACAGGCCCACACAGCCCACCTATGACCAGCTTCAACTCGAAGCCGTCTTCTGTACGACGTACCTTGAAGCTGGGAGAACCGTTGAAACGTGCTTCTTAGATCTTCTTAGACCATCTGTGGCTATTCGTGACTTTGAATCAACAAAGCACTTGCCATGCACCAAATGGCCTGATAACTCTGATACAGTAAATGGGCAAGCCTACAAAGCATAATTGGGCACAACTTCCTTAGTTGCACCTTGCAAACTGATTTGCAAAGGAACATCATCAAAATAATATGTTAACAATGATACGTTCTTGGCATGGGCTCTCTTGTGCTTCTCTTCCGTGGTCATCGGCTACTGCCATCTCTGCTGCAATGCAATGCACCGGTTCCGGTAGAACGCTGCAGTAAAGAATTGGATGGGTGCTTCCTAATCACAAAGAATCGCCTCGCAAGAACATGTTGCCCCAATTCTTGAAGGGGGTAGCCTGTAAGCCGCTTTTTGCTGAAATGTAAATCGGTGGAACAATTTTATGCAATGCAGTCCCCTGCCTGCAGGTGTGTGTGTGTGTGTGTGCGTGTGGAAGTTGGTGGCATTCCTTGCGCTAAAGAAAGGTTGCTGTATGGAATTAGGAAATTGTACCTTCTTCCCTTGAATTGAGCTATGCCAATCTTGTTTCAGATCATCTCATATGTTTGCAGGGCAAACCGGATTTCTCTCGTTCCTAGAGGAAATGCCCCCCTTTCCACCCCATCCCGCTTACAACGGAACATGTAACATGTTCACATGTCATGGCTTTTCCATCCCCTTTCCATGGTACCTTCATCCCACAGCGACGCGACGCGACGCGAGCGTGTCGACTTCATCGACCGACCTCACCAGAAGCATCGGGCCTTTAGGACCTCGGTGGAGTAGCGGATATGATCCTTCCTGAGAAGCGAAGCGAAGCAGCTGACCAGCAGGGATGAGCGAAGCTGGGGAGATGGTCCACCAATTGGGGTGAAAACCATTCTTTGCGTGTGGACCACGTCGTGACCATCAAATGCGGTGGACCATTCACTGCAGAATGCACATGGCACTTCATGGCACTTCAATGGCACATGGCTCAAGCATGCAAGTTGATCTGTTCGCTGCACATCATGTCATGTGACAAGGTCCATTGTCCATGACCCGTCCGATATTACCGTTCGTCTCTGCCCAAGAGGCTGTTCCAAGGCGAAGTCCCTCAAGTAGTCCACTAAGACGGAGGCCTTGGTTCGCCCACGTGGATGGCCAAATCCATATCCAGCTGGCGGGTTGGTTGGTTTTTTTCTTCACCACGTCCTCGAACGGTTCTCTGCTCACCCTTTTGATGCACACTCCGCCACCATGGAAGTGGAAAATACAACCCCCTAGGAGTCCAGTCGACCATTTTTAAAATGGTCTTGAGGTGATCCAAAAAGGAACTTCCTTTACTTCGGTGGTGCCGAAAATAGTCTTTGGACTTCTAGGGAGCCTGTTTGTAGAGGAGACTCGTATACAATTGTCATTCGAGGGTCCATGAATCTTTCAGGGTGCCACTACCTACTAGGTACTGGTCCTGGTTTACACCCTTGCAGACCCTTGCAAGCGCGAAACCGAACATGAATCGAGGTCGTGAACATGGCCCGAATTGGTTTTTGGAGGGAAAAGCCTCCTCTCTTGCCAAGTCGCATGTGGGAAAAGCTCCTTCGAGCGCGCTGTGACTGGGGTCGTTCGTGCTGATTCCTGTCGCGGCCACCCGGCTCTTTACCGGCCCAGCGGCCAAGAATATCTTCTTCCAAAAGCCGCTGGTGACTCCCATTGAAGGAAATCATAGGAAATCATCCGAAGAATCCCTGGAGATGGGGTTCGAGACCTAATCGTTTTACTGATGAATCTGAGGTGCAGCCGGTGGTCTGGCTGCAAGCAAGTGGCTCTGGAGGCCTTCTGGGTCACAACGATCTCTTGGGTTTCCCTCTTCTTCAACCTGCTTCATGCCCTCCAATCCCCGCACATGGTACACCTAGACGGTGGTTGCAACGAGGAATCGCCCTTCAGGACTCCCAAACAAACTGAAAGAACATGGCGGAATGACACGGACATACTATGCGACATGTGGTTCAACATCAGAAAGGAAAAACGCAGAAAGCCAACAAACAATGGGCCAGTAGTCACAAAGGAGTGCTTAATGGAGGTTAGGGGCGCCCCCAAAACCACCCCTTTGCGAGTCTTTTGGGCTTTTGGGCCTACATCTGGGGCTCCCCGGGGCTCCCCTGCGCTTCCCTGCCAGTACCAGCCAGCAGCCTCCAAACACTCAAAAAAACCCGCCGACCTCCTTCAGGTCGATCAAGCTGTTCCAGTCATGACGGAAGGCAAAGTCCTTCGTGCGGCCCTCTCGCACGGTCCTCGAGGATTTTCCGGTCTGGAGGTTCCAGACTCGAGGTTTGCGCGTCTCAAACTTGATCAAACAAAAACATAATACAAATTAATATAGAACTGCTCAACCTTCACCTTCTTTTCCTTTCTCCACCTGTGGTCAATTACTTGCGGCATGTATTTGTGTCTAGGTGACATAATAGCTACCCTCCCTGCAGAGTTCACCGCCCGAAGGCAGCGCGTTTCCCTGCAAGGCTCCGCTTGTTGAGGGAGATGAGCCGCCGATGCCGAGGATACTGCTCGAAGAAGCTCCCCGCAGCGGCCGCCCTGCGAGTCGTGAGACATGGAGCGCGAAGCGAGACGACGCAACGGTGGAAGCAGCTACAAGGATCGCTGCCACCTCTCATCGACCAACGTGTTTGGATATAGTCAAACTCCCAAGAAATCGGGATCCTGAATCCCAAGTACTAGTGGTGTCAGAGTGATATCAAACGGCAAATTCCTATATACAGTTACATAAATTTTGGATGGGAGTCCATGTAAACCACCTTTTTGGGGATTGTACCATCTACTCTGAAACCACTGTAAATGTTGTGGGTGCATTCGCATGGCCATGCCTCTACATCGTTCTTTTCTCGCACACCCGCACAAACACACGCCACGAGTTCGCAATCGCAGGTCGCCTCTCAAAAATGACATAGTCCCGCTGGGCATGGAACAAGAAGTGACCCAGTTGCAAGCCAGCAGGCCCCGCGCCTGCCCAACTTGAGGCCAGTGGGGGTGAACGAAAGCTAGCCGGGCTTCCGGTGGTCTGCTGCTGCTGCTGCTGCTGGTGCTGCTGCTGCCGCTGCTGCGCTGGGCGCTGCTGCGCTGGGTGCTCTGCAGGCGCCGGGTCGTCTGCTGCTGCTGCTGCTGGCGCTGGGTGGTCTGCTGCGGCTGCTGCTGCTGCGGCGTTGGGTATGCTGCTGCTGCTGCCGCCGCTGGGTGGTCTGCTGCTGCTGGTGCTGCTGCTGCTGCTGCCGCTGCTGCGCTGGGCGCTGCTGCGCTCGGTGCTCTGCTGGCGCCGGGTCGTCTGCTGCTGCTGCTGCTGCTGCTGCTGCTGCTCTGGGTCTGCTGCTTCTGCTGCTGCTGCTCCTTTGTGGTTTGCTGCAGCTGCTTGGTGGTAGACTGCAGATGCTTGGTGTGCTGCAGCTGCTTGGTGGTCCCGCTCACCGCGCGCAGGGGGGAGTCGAACCGCGGGGGGGGGGGGTCCATAAGATTGATTTAATCAATTATTTGAGGTTTCTGAGGTGCGTCCACCCCGTCACTTAACTTGCTAAAGCAAGAGCAACTCCAGCTAGCTAAGGCTAGCTTTCGTGAAAATCCTAAAGGAACACAAGAAGACTTCCATCGAACCAAATTCCTTCTGTCTGTCTGCCCCCCTCTCTCTCTCTCTCTCGCTCTTGTCCAGCTGGAGAACACAGCTGTCCCATCGGAACCCTCTGACAGGCCAGGCTGTACTGACCTAGAGCTTTCCCCTCCTCTCTCGTTTCATCTCGGAACTGGTGATGAAGTTGGGGAAGGGGCATCCCAGGGGCCGTGGCTGGGTTGCCGATCCGTCGGGAACTCTTCTGCAAGCACAAGCTGCTGCAGGAAACGATCCGGAAACGGGGTGGGGCAACTTGTGATTGGCTGCTGATGCTACTGGTAGTGAAACTGTTCAATGCACTCCTTAAGCCGCTGGTCGAGCCAGTAGCCTACAATGCATCTCAGTAGGATAGTAGTGAGTTGGCAAATGAACATAGGGGCCAAAAACTAGTAACTAGCAGGTCGATGCTCGTTCTGTTCACCAACCCTCGGGTGGATAGCTGGAAACATCCCTACATCATGTGAGAAAAAAAAGAACATCATGCATGTGCACAGGTTCTTCCAGCCAGAACTTATACGGTGACACTGTGAATCTCAAATATATTATTGTAATTCTGGCCTAGTCACAGCATTATTGCTAGCAGCAAGCAATGCATGCAAGCAGTGTGAATCCGACTCCTGCTTCATTGCCAACACGCCTATGATGCAATATTGGTGCTGCTTTGCCAGAACCCCAGCCAGGAGCAACAGCCAACGCCCCACCAAAACCATCGCGCAAATGGTGCAAACGCTTCATGCAGTTTCAGCTCAGTCAGTTGCAGTGTGATGCGCTACTGACCTGATCTGCCCTGCCTATTGATCCTCGCGATGTTGGAGGCTATGTTTATCTATTTTCAAGTCGAATCAGTAGGAGACCCGGCCTGTGGATGGCCAATGGCAGGAACTGGCGGCTTGGAGTAGGATTCTCGTCTGAATGACACAAACGCTAATGACATGGGTGATTGATGGCCTGCCTCGCACCACCTACTCAGTGGAGGGGACATTCGCCCGAATCACTTCTCAGTGACGAATGGTGGATGGCTACCCCAAGGGAAAGTTCAATGGATGCTTCGTCCTCCAGTTCTGAGTTTGGTTTCTTTTCCAACGTGTGGTTCATGCACTGCTATGATTGCAAATTTCGGTTTTGACTTGATGACGTTGGAACTCACGGATAAAACATGCGTCCTGAGGCAAATGCCTTTGGAGAAACATCTCAGAGCTTGCAAGTGGAGAATCAATGGCAAACAAATTGAAGAGTGAAAAGGGCACACATCGTGGCAAGACGATTTGTTTCCATGTGTCATGTCTTTCCATGGTAAACTGCTTGAACTCCTAAGATCCTATAGGTTCATCAGCGTGAGTGTTCCACTCTCAGAATGCCCGAAAAGTCAACTGCTGCTTGTCACAGCTTTTAATTTTTTTCGCTGTCAGGGTCGTTCATTCCTCAAGGCGTCCAACATCGAGTGTTTCGACATGTTTCGACGGCTCAGTTCCAGTGTCTTCAGATGCTCAAACCTCTCTGGGCAAGCCTCGCTTCGCAAAGATGGTCCTCATGATGCTGGCTTCTCAGATGGTCTCATGATGCTCCTCGCGCCTCCCAGTAGGTGCTCCCAGTAGGTCTTCCCAGCTCTTCCCAGTAGCTCCATCTGTGGCATCCAGCAATCTGCATTCCACTCCAGCGGATCTGCCGTGTTGTCCGATGGGGACAACTCAAGCACTCGCTCATGTGTCATTGATCTCTTGAAGGATGGCACTGATCTCCACAGATCTCTCAACAAATGGCTTGTAGGAAGTGCCAACTGAACAAGCCCTGCGAGCGGCGCTGCGGCGCTGCGGCGCTGCTGCGCGGCGCCGAGGCGTGGACCGAAGTTCAGAACTGCTGCGCTACGCATCGCTACGCAGGCGACGCGAAAGAGAAGCAGAAACGCTGATCTTCGCTTCCTGCGCAGGCGCGCACGCTTCCTGCGCAGAAGCGCCGGGACTTTGGACAAGGGAGCCTCACATGAAGTCTTGGGGGCAAAAAGAACAGCACTATGGCTTCTCAGGTGAACCTTGGATGATCTTTGATTAGATATTATATACAGTAACGTAGAATGACAAGGTGGCAGTTACATGCAGTGATTAGAGCCGTTCAATATCTGTCAATCTTGAAATTGCGGCATGCTACGCCAAAAGATGCCAAAAGTGTCAGATTCAGGTGACAAGACCTTGCTGAAGTGGGCAACCCTGTGTCTTCCAATCATCTTCCATCAATATGCAATTTGACTCCAGCCCTCCCCTCCCAAACGTCCTTCATTCTCAGCTTCTTGGACTTCACCCCTCACCGTGCCGTCCACGCGCGGCTGGCGCCGCGGCGAGTCACTCGCCCGCCCGGAGGGGCCACCCACTCCTGGGGCACCTTGGTGAGCCGCGATGCATCGTAGCCTGCGGCGCCACGCGCGTCCACCACGCGCACAAGGATGAAGGCACCGGGCGGTGTCGGCGACGGCGGGAAACGTGGATGGAGAACCGATGCGGAGGGCCAGGTAGTCGATTGGGAGAACGAGGACCGAAGCGGAAAGCGTTGAGTTGTTGGACGCCGTGTTTTCTTGGGGTTGTGGGGTTCGAGTCCACCATACTGCTGCTGTACCTGAAAAATCAAGGGGGACCCAAAACCCAAGTGTGGGTCACTGACAAACTCTGGCAGAATGGGTAGTGCTAAGACCAAACAACTCAGGCACCACAAGTCTTGAATTGATTTCTCCAGGTGATCGCGCCTGATTTCTCCAGGTGATCACGCATCTTCTGCAGCACTTCACCCTCCAACCAGTGCTGCCGAGACATGAGCCACAGCGACTGACCATCACTGGTGCCCAGGATCACCGCCTCAAAAACGAAAAACACATCGAAGCTAAAATGCAATGACGAATTGAATATTTACCATGGGCTTCCACAGGTCTAGCTCTCAGCCTCATGTGAATCTCCCGAACTTTGTTCACCCATGTTCACCCTGAAGCTCCGGGCGGAATCTCTGACATCTAAAAGCACCCCAAAACGACCTGCCATGACGCCTGCCGACTCGCCGACCTCGCGACCTGCCTTCTCAAAGGGGAAAACATGGGAAAACAAGGGCCGCTGAACCCCGGCCGCGGCCGGCGGAACCCTTCGGAACGGCCACCCACACACCGAGCTCTCCGCTCCTTGACGTGCTCGGCGCCTCGGCGAGGAAGTGGTGAATGCGAATGGGTGATCGATCCGAATCATGAATTATGGTTGCTGACTTTTTTGCTCCAACACGACACATGGGACTGCCATAGATGCCGATCAATTGACCCCAAAACCACCCCAACTGATCGGCGTATATGGCAGTCCCATGGAGTGTCTGGGTAATATATATATATATTATTTATATATATATATATATTTATGTGAATTGATTTGTCAAACTTAACCTCCCTTGTGCGGTCAGCTGTGTGGTTTTCAAGGAAGGTCCTCTACCTGCCAAGAAAAACTCGATCTCCGTGTCAATTGGGGCGCCAAAAATTGACAGCTGACATGCTTCAAACTTCGTGCAACGGTGAAAGCATGGTCATCAAACTGCACAGCATGTTCATCCCCAAACCACTGGAATTCTAGCATGTACCCAGTTGTGATCCCGTAGATAATCCATAGATGGATGGTCTGGGATCGCGATGAAAATTGGCGATGACATTACCATTGCATCTATAGCGTGGTCCCCAATAGATAGTGGAGCGGTTTACAATAGATTTTTGGTTGGGATCTACTGGTTACTGATCTACTTTTCTATCTATTTGGGTGGGGGTCCACAGTGGCTGTTACCAAAGCACCCGCCTAAGTTCCACTGCTTCAGTGTGCTTTGTCCCCCCATCGGGTTTAAAAATGCATCCTGAGCCTTCGGCAGTAGAGCAGAACATAGTCCGGACACCTGGGTCAATTGGAGGTCTAGACACCTGAGGTTGTTGAAAGATCGAAAGTTAGGCCTCGTTCAGGTCGCGGCCTCTCCAGGCAGCATCAGATCCTCTGAGCATCTCATGATGGGGGCCCTGGAGGCCTTCTTCGCATCAGCCGGTACAGTACCATGTGCATGCCAGCTTCTGGAAGTGGTATGGGTGTCCTATATAAGGACTCCTAGCTCACCTCCTCCTAGCTCAAGACAAGGGTGATGTGGATCGTGGCAGGACAGTGATCTTCACCCGTTGACGTTTCGAAACGTATGGGAACAACCTTGGGAGTATGACTTTGCAATCTCTGTCCACTATGATAAATAAAAGAATGTAAGGGTGGAGCTCACATGGTAGCTGATCAACTTTCTTTCATGATGGAATGGCCACTCCCGGATCTTTCACGGATGGTTTGAACATGTTTGGACAGCATCTAAGGATATCTAAGGGGTCATTTGGTATAAAACCCCTTGCACGGCCCTTTAGATCAACTCCCACATAGAAAGAACTGTTTTATCCTGTGAAGCACGACATCCGCATGACAACAACAACTTGTCACATGTTGGGCTTCTGAGAATGCCCTCGATTAACTAAATGGCCAGGCTCGTTCTTGGTGCTCAGTTCATTTGGGCTATCTGAATTTCTCAAGTTGTTATAAGCCTCCTGTATCATCATCTGCTTAGGCTCACCTGGGCCTCAAATACACGAATGGACACCACGATCCATGCAACAGCCCGCAAAATGGGTCTTGCGAACTCAGAACTGGCATCCATGAAACATCTCATGTCATGAAACAAAACAACAGCCCAGCGTCTCAGGATCAACCCGATTTGGTTTGGCAACTGTTCCAAAAGGACCGTTGAATGACACACCCTAAATCACACAAATCCACTGGGATTTGTTCACCCTCTCCTCATCTTGGGTCCCCTGTCCCTCCCTCCGAAACCGCTCGGCGACTCACACTGACACTGGGCTCCCCCGGCGACCCGCTGGGCAGGCCCAGTAGCGGCTTCCGGCACCACGTGCTGCGGCCCAAAGGTACCAAACGTTCCTGCAGAAGCCGCGGAGAACGGGAAGGGTCTGCGGAGAAACGGCCTCTGGCCCCCCCTTCCGAGCGGGTTTAGGGGGGAAGACATGCACCTTGATGAAAGGCCGAGGCATGTCTGAAAAGCAGGTAGTACATGGCAGTACAGCCAGGATTGCACAGGCCATGCATTCTTGAAGAAGATTCATCTCTTCTGCAAGCTTTCGGAACTTGAGGACGTGTTCCTCGACATGTCCACTTTAACAGTTTAACAGTTGAACTACACAGTTGAACAGGACCTTCTCTAAAGAACAATTCTCCCACAAAATCCAATACCTAGCACTTCCAATGGGTGCCCTGTCTGGAGGGCCTGCAAGTAAGGTAGGGTAGTCTAGCTAGGACACCCAGACTCAGACAGGATGAGACCGACACCTTGCGACCCCCTGGGTTCGGTGCAGGCAACCAGTCGATCCACCCGAGGACCACACGGTGCCCCTCTTCAAAACACAACAAGTCATTAAAAAGTCATCAAAAATCCATCAAGTTAGCGCCCATACAATTACCTCTCCGCTCCTGGACGCGTTCGAAAGGCACCTCCCCCACACACTGCGCCCACCGCACGACGAGGTCGGTCGGCCTCCGAGATGAAGCGCCGGTCGCCCCTCCGGCCCAAGGAGCGCGCGAGGATGAAGGACCTAACGACAGCGAGACCGGAGCGGTCAACGGATCTGGGTTGATGCAAGGCACAAAGGGTTTTCCAGGTCACACCATGGAACGGCATGAAGATCATGAACTAACATGAACCAACTGGAATGACATGGAAGGACAGCTGCTTCCACGTGGCTTCTGCTTTTTGTTCAGTGTGCCAAGCAAACCTCACAAGGTACCAACCAACGTTAAATACATCAATGTGCTTTCTTTCTTGCTGCCACTAGTTGGTTTTTGGACACACACCAAGGCTGAACACACCATAGCAAACTCATCCAGTCAAGCTACTCCGTGGCATCCCAGCCGTATTCTCTCACCAAGTTGGTCTCCCCCTCCTCGCGGTCTGACATGGAGCTGGTCGGTCTGTCTGGTGTGCCCTCTGGGCTATCAGTCGCAGCGGGTCAAAGAGAGTGTCAACCAGCCAAAAGTTGGGGTGCCACGGAGATCTGCTATCTGAGATTCTCAACTGAACGGTTGAAGTTTGCCGCTTGCATTGCACGTATATAGTATGTACCTATATACAACATAAATAAAACCCAGGAATTCCAACAAGCACCTATTGCCCATGTTAGATAGAGTTGGGTCAGCAACTTGTCTGTTGAAGAAAGGCTTCAAGGTCCACAGCGCCAGGCTGACAGTGGGCGTTTCCGTTGCCCGCAAAGGTGGGTGAAGCTCGATCTATCTCTTTCTAGGTTCAGAATCAAGTACTTGGATGACTTTTTGTTAATGCTTCAAGCAGCCATGTGGTACAAGTACGAGCCGGTAGCCTACTACTTGGATAAAAACGGATGAACATTAATATGTCCCACCCAGCCCCAAAAAGGCCAAATCCCTTCCCCATCTCCGCCCCATGGTCCTCCAAGTTGGCTCCAATGCACCAAATCACGTACCTCGTGAAGCTCAAGCTGCAAGCTGCAAGCTGCGGTGGTTTCGGTCGCGATGGACCACGTGATCTGTCCCCCTCACCACCGCAAATCCATGCTTTGGCTCGAGCAGGGATCGTGTAGATCTCTTGGGGATGAAAGTGCCAAGGTTCAAGCACCGTGGAACATCAAATCCCCATCAACTTCAACACGGAAATCCCCCATCTGGGCTGGTCCTTTGCTTTCGGCGCCAACTTGGCGATGTCCTCCCACCTCCTCCCCGTTCCCGGGCCAAGCGTGCCAACGGCCCAAGATCCTCTCCAAATCCAGGCCGTTCTCCTCCTTAGCTGCTCGCCGCTGCTGGCACGGGCAAGTGGACGACGATGGTCCCATAGGAGGGTGACCCGGATGGATTGGCTGGAACAAAGTGAGGCATCCAATTATATTCTTAAATATATGAAATGTATACCATGCATATACCGATATAGTGGCATCAGACTTCACCAATAATGGCATTATGGTAAGGAAGGAGAGTTTACATGCTTACACCATGCATCACCATACCATACCCATGACCCCACGTGTTCCACCTCTCTAAAGAAAGAAGGACAAAAACATTAGAAACGGAAACAGCACGAGAACACCTGGCCATGTCTTCTGCATTTCTACCCCTCTGGCGGCCGAGGCCGCCAGGCCTCCCCAGGCCGATCTCTTCGGACTTGCCCAGACTCCGCAACTGCTTCCCCGGCGCCTTTGCGCCTCAGCGCCGGGTTCTTGGGGTGTCCAGCTGCCAATGCAAAAAAGCCCCCAAAGCGTGCACCGAGAGCCTCTGTCTTTTGGCAAGTTGGTTTTTTGCACACCAGGAGCGCACCTCGTAGATAGGGTGGGTCTACTGGTGGGTATCTGTGATTGTGGATGGATGTGGCTGCCCCGATGTGAGACATGCCCACATCGTGAGCTTCGTTCAGGCTTGGGCCTGGCAGAAATAAGGTCACTGAATAGCCAACTGGAGTCATCATGATTCATCCTGGCAGTCTAGTTGGCTTTCTTAAACTTGTCTGACTAGGTGATTCGCTCCAAAAAATCGTCTTTGGACTCTGGTCTTTTTGGGTTTCCTCTAGTGCATCTTCACCTGGCCACCTTTGCATCTCAAAGCTTTCCTGTACCATTCAGGCCAATGAACATGGCCAGGTGAACGCCCGGCATAGCTTGAAAATAGCTCTGCCCCAAAAGGGGCAGAAAAAGGGCTAACAATCCCTTAGCATCCTCCAGGATCACCTACTCTTCAAGCTTGCCAGGGTTCTCCTAACATCTCCAAGCTATCAACACACAAACCCACAAGATTATATGATCCCATGAGATCCCATGAGCCAAAACTACATCCATTTTGCCGTCCACCTGCGCACGCTGTTGGTGAGACCTCGAAACCGCGACCGGTTTTCGAAAGGGCCTGGATGGTTCAAAAATTGTGAGGGCTGAGGGTTGCTGAGTTTTGGCTTGAGTATCCTTAGTATCCCTGAGTATCCTTGAGTCCTTTGAGGAAACACATGTCACCCGAAAAAACCGAAAACCAAAAAAGAACACCTCTCAGCTGAGAAGCATCAATGGTCGGTGGCCAACGGTCCACTCCTTGGATGTTCTTTGCTGCAAACGAACGGTGCAGCGCAAGGAGAAGCACTCTTTTGCAAAAGGATCAGTTGACTACCATCTGTGCTTCAACATCTTGGGGACAATGGGAGCCAAGAAGGGCCTACAAGTTCATCAAATTATACACCCTATACTACCATTTGACTGGATACAGTGTAACCTGCTAGCAAATTGTAAAACACACAGTTGCGTATGGTCCGACAGACCAATCCAAGAATGTGTAGTGCGGCCACAGTTGGAGGTGAGTGGCTCAACAGGATATGGTCGGGTTAGTTAGTGGCATCAAAATTCATCAAAATTTGCATCGGGACATATCGGGACTCGGGACTGCCCATCTGTTTGCAAAACAGGCACCTCCAAGTGAAGCACCAAAGCTTTGCATTCCGCAATGCCTCAGCCGGTGAAGTCAGGCACCCCACCCTTACATTGGTTTTTGGTGCATGCTGGCGGGCCAACATGGACAGCAGGTTGAAGAGGCTGAAACCCAAGTGGTGGTGGGCTTGTTGGGGGTTTGGCGGGTTGGCTACGCATGGCCGCATGGCCTTGGTGGGAGGCTTCTTGCACTACAGTTGGGATGTCAAAACCATGCCCTGGCACAAAAGCCATATCCATATATACTTGAATTGTGCCACCCCATCCACCTTGATGTGACGCGAATCCATTTCCTCATGACCACTTTGAGTGCAGCGAGTGGCTGTTCTTCGTCGCCTCACCCTCGGTGAAGAATGGGCCTAGGGAGAAGGAAAGCAGCAAACCTTCATGGTCCTCCTGCATGGTGTGCTAACGTGATGCATGTTGATCCTGCTTTTTTACATGTGCCCTACAGTCAACGGACGTGTGTGCTATCGTCCTTTGACGGGTCTTCGAGGCCCGAGCCATGGGCTAGGGATTCTGAGTGTATTGTGAGGCCCCTTAGTAGTGGGCTGGGGCTTCCATTACAACTGACCCCTCAAAGAAGGTGCTGGTAGCTAGGACTGTCACCTATAGATACAAACCCAGACACGTCTGGGACTGCCAGACTGCCGATCAGTGGGGGTGGTTGACATGGGGGTCATTTGATTGCCATGGTATATGGCAGTCCCAGACGTGTCGTGGGACTGGGTCTTATGCGAGAGAAAGTGATCAGCATTTAAAAAACGGTTTGAAGGCACCTGTTCAGGTGCTAAGAGTTGTGCGAAGCGCCATGAAGCACCTACCTCTGACATCCTTTTACAAGAACCTGCTTCATCGGAACAGACCTGCAGAACTGAGTGCGAAAATGGGACAACTCAGGAATTCGTCACCAGGCCAAAGCGAGGAATTCGACAGGTTCTCGAACCTGCCTGCTTGGCATGTCTTGAGAACTTGCTTCATCCGAAGGTCAGCCTTCAAAAGTGGCTTGCACCAGGTGCGGCTGCTCCGCCCATCATGCGCCGCCGGTGCGAACCGGACTTGGCGAGCTGGCCTGCGAGGTGCTTGGGCTGCAGGATCTTGTCCAAGTAAAAGCCACCTGCACGTTTCGCCGGACAGCTGGCTGCTTCTAACCGCAACACTCCCCGCGAGAATCCCGTCAAATCCTGGCAGAGGCATGTCTCCTTCAGCCATGCACCACCAGGTGGTTCCAGCCAAGGCCGCGGCCCGACTCGAGGTTGCGTGGACGGGACACGCAGAGCCAAAGGAGCCCCTGGCGCAGTGGCAGTGGAATTGCTGATCGGATGTGGCAGGGGCAGTGCCTTCAGCAAAAAGAGACAGGAGTGTTGAATCATGTTGAATCGATAATATGATCTGCAATGACATCCGAGAACTATGACAAGATCTTACTGATCCGACAATAGTCAATGGATTAAGTTATATTACCCAAACACTCCATGTATGCCATATATGCCGATCAGTTGGGGTGGTTTGGGGGGTCAATGTAGCCATATCTGGCAGTTCCAGACGTGTCGTGTTTGGGTTAATCATATCTCGTCTGATAACATCCGTTTATGAAACGATCTCAGCGTCTGCCACAACAACATCCGGAGTACATCCGATCCTGCACTCGGAACCGGTCCCGTGTGGCTTCCGTCGGGCCGGACGGGCAGAACCCACATAGCGCATGGCGAGACGCTGCTTGCTTCTTTCGAGGCGTTCGCGGAGAGAATCTGTTGATCTGTATGCTCTCCCAATGGTGACGCAAAACGCACATCTAGATCGGCAAATGTGCACGATATTGAGGGCTCCAACCACATCCTCAGAAGCTACGGACAAACACCACAGATTGACCCCAAGCTTCAAGACCCGAGCGGAGCGACGATATCCAAAGCGATTCACCCACTGGAGTCCACCTCATTGAGGCTGTAAAAACACTTCGTTGGACTGGGAACGTCCAGTGAATCACATGATATGACCACAAAAGGCCGGAACTTGGTGAGTGTCCAAGAATCTTCAGAAACGGTATCGCTGGGTCCTTCTCCCAAACGCGAAACCATTGGAGCGTTTCTCCCCCAAAACTCCGTGACCGTTGACCACCGAGCAACTCCCGCCCGACGCCTCCGCCGCGGACCACCAGTCCCGTTTCGGCTCCATCAGCACTTCACCTCGACGCGACGCGTTTCGGTGCCGCCGCGGTGCCGCACGCCGCGTCAGGATGCGTCAGGCGTTGGCCACTTGGATGCAGAAACGGGGACACCAGCTTAACCCATCTTAACCCTAAAGGCCTTAGGCCTTTTTAAGTGTGTATGGGGTTGATGTATCGACATGTATCGACTTATCAAAATGTTGCTCAATGTGTTTGATTGAATTCCAAATAGCTGCCAACCAGCTGTCTTAATTAAGGTATGGGAACTTTACGGCAAAATTGGTGCTCAGATCTAGAATCTAGCGAACCCAGCTCGAGCCAACCAACAAAGGTCACCAACAACTTGCGGCAAATGAACTTGTTGGATGGAAGTGTTCCCACAACACGACATGAGCGAGATACGGTTGATGGACCAGGTCACCCGCATCACCCGTGAACCAAACTCGGCACACTCGGTGCGAATGGAACCGCCTCTCCACGGCTTATCAGCGGCAACCGCACATCGAACAGGATTAGCCGCATTGCAACATGCACTTGCAAATGTATGGAAGCTTGATCTGCTGTGCCAAGGTGCTGTCTTGATACATGTCGTTGCATAGTTCGTTGTCGACCCATCCTCAACTTATCAACTCTGCCCAAAAAAAAAAACAACACATCCCGAGCAAAGGGGGTCAAATGGGTCTTCCCCCACGAGCAACTGTGAAATCAAGTGGTGCCAAGTGGAACTCTCACCAAGTTGTTCGCTGGAGCTCGCTAACTAAGGTGGTTATATAACTCTCTTTTCGCCCACTGCTCTGATGAATATGATGAATATAATATATATAATATAAGTCATAGGCTTTCCCTCATCCGATCTGGCCAAAGGCTAAGACACGTGAGGTGACGAACATGCTGATTCGAGGTCCTGCTTTCGAGAGGTTGCTTCCACCATTCCTGGGTCTTCTGGGGGCACACTGTGGCTCTCCAGCGTGGGCCCTAGGCTCTGCTGGTGATTTTGGGGCTCATGGATGTGGCCAAGGGCACAAACAGTCCGACCTTGGGGCGGTTTCTAGCACCGTCTTCCCATCACCTGAACATGATGTGAACACTTTGAGCCAACAATCCTCTGCTAAACACGCATGGCCTTTCTCAACTTGAGGAACGACTTCATGCCGAGAATCCAAGATGACAACTCAGCATCAGGACCTTGTAAAGCTTGGCCCAGTACTCACACAGGAGCACCTGGCCACTTGTGTCGCTTGAGCCAATGGTGGAAACCAACTTATATATTATAGTTAGAATCTGACAAAGGACCGGGAACACGAGCTGTTGTCCGTCCAGATGCCTGACATGGAAAGGGCCTGAGGAAATGTTGTGCGGCCTATCTCTTGGTTAGCGTGAGGCGTGAGAGATCAAATCTCCAAAACCCTTCCAAAACACCCCAAACAATCCCAAACAAACCATGGAACCCCACCAGCAGCCACAAAGGCCAGTCCAGGACCCAATCGATCGTTGGACAAGATATGATAGGAACAGGAACTACATTCTGAGTTCCACAACCGCCAGCATCAAAACACTGCAGTCAAGGCTTCTGGATGGGTTTGATACACTCACGACTTTTGTGGAGGGGTATATTATAGAAACCATTTCCCTCGCTCGAGGTCCAACTGCTAGCGTCAAGATGTGTCAAGGGAACATCCGCCAGCCGACTGACTGTTCAAAGCAGTCCATGAGTGGAGGGAATGGCATGGATTGGCACCTGGCTCTGTCCAGCGCTCAACAGGGTCAACATGATTAAGGCCTGACCCCTTCAGTTTCCACCCGCTGGATTTGAGTGGGGAATCCTATTCCCCAATGTTCAACGCGGCTTATTCACTGACTGGCTAGGTTGAGGATGGTTGAGGTAGATTCCCCTGACAGCCACCCACGTGTTCCCCGCCGCGTGCCTGTGCGCGCTTTTGGTAGGCAAAGTTCAGCAATCCATTGTAGTCCTCACAGCGTGGAGAAGTGCAAAAGAAATCTGCAGAACGCCATCCGCTCCCGATGAGGCTCACACACCCACACACCGTGAACACCTTCTGCCTCCATTCGCACCTCTTTTTGGGAGCTGCCGCGCTTCGTCGCGCCGGCGAGATGCGAGGCCGTGCAAGTGCCGCTGCCTGTGACGACCTATGCGAGCCTGTACAGGATATGCACCCCTCGGGGAGTTGTGAAGATGTCACTCAAGGATCCCACCTGGCGCAAAGACTCTGAGCCGCTGACACTGCTTGACACCAACAATTGTCTTAGTACGGATTGGGAGATTGATCCCGGCTTTGCATCTACCCTGAAGGGGGTCTTTAAACGACTCCCAACATCTTCTCAGTCAATGGTCCTCGCCTTCAAAGACCCTAAAATTTGATGTGCCTCGCCCCTTGTAATCGAAAGTTTCGAGCAAACCTGGCCACTGACGAAAACAGGCCCACACCAGGGAAGAGTCATATAACCTGAATGGCATGGACCAGACTGGAAGACGCTTTCCCTCTACAAACCCGGTGTTCAGCTCCGTCCCACGGTGACTCCGACAGCCGTCTCAGGTCCGTCGGATCCGAACGCGTCCGCCCGTACGCGTCCGCCCGAGCCACCTGGTAAAGCATACAATTCCATTAGGACCAATCATAGCCCTAGAAGTCCGGTTCGACTCTTTGTTGGGACCACCGAAGGGGGTAACAAAGGATCAAAAAGAGCCATGTCTGAGTCTTTGACCATGCTCTCACTTAGCATGAGGGGTAGTCCAAGACCTTGTTTAGACCATTTGTTAAACTATTTTCAATCAAGCTCTTGGACTCCCGAGGCATTTCTCACATGAAGCGAGATCTGGGGCCGTTGGCAGCAGAAATCGTTGTGATCTGGTCATAGCATCGCACGAAACCGTGTGCTCACGTGATCGCAAAACACTGGCCTTCAAAGACCATGAAAAGAATGGTCGACCTGCTTTTGTAGTCTAAATCCTGAGTAACAGTAAAACAATGGCTGCTTGGTAAAGACCATTAAAACAATGGTTGCAGCCAATAACACCCGCCATCCAAGCTTGCCAAGACTTCCCAACTTGTCAAATGCTTTCGGAGCTTATTGTGATGATAGGGTCATTGAGACTTGGAACAGGCAGGTAGATAGGAGTCCTGTCGAAACTACAGTGATTTTGCCACCCACTCATGATGGACCTTCATTCCCACACCCACAGCCGCACGAATCCCCCTTCTCACATGTTGGTGTTTGCTAATGACATCACATGACAGTGGACCATGGGCACCGCATGTTCTGTTCTGCCTTTGTCCGCCACCCACTTGAGTTGATCCACTTCCCCCATATCCATAGGGCCCCCATATCCATAGGGCCCCCGCCCCACAAAAGAGTCAAGCTTTCCTACCCATCAAAGCGTCCGACGCTTTGCACCTCCAACTCGAAGGCCACGGCATCGAAGTCGCGGCCAAACTGCCCTGGAGCTTCGGCGGCGAAAGGGCGCTGTACGCGGTGGATTGGATAGCCCCTGAGAACCCCGGCCACATGGAGAGGTATTCACACTCCAAATGGGGAGGATTGTATTCATCAGTCTACATCATCTCCATCGAAGGTCTCCGCAAATCCGTAGATTCTTCCGGCAAAAGGGCAGGCAAGGGCCCGGCCGCCACCCTCAGTGCCTTTGCTCCATTGGGAGGGTCAAAGCCCTTCAAAGGGGAACTCAGGAAGCTGATAGAGACTGCAAAGCCTTACCAGCAAACAAAAAGTGAGGTGAGATGAGGTGAGCACAAATCTGGAACCTAACGATTTCTATAGAGCAGGATTCGCACCACCACTGATCGGGCTTCGTGCCGCATCCAAGCTCATCTACCTTGTGCCAAAACGGGGAGCACACATTGCCGCTGTTGTTGTCCCCGAGTCATGTTGAGAACTGAGAACTGATCCCGGAGATGCAGAGTTCAACCTTTTTCCATCATGATGATCCATGCCCAAACACTCCATGAGCCTGGCATATTGACCCATGAGGATGCCCAAACATTAGGATTCCAAGCACCCTATGTATATTGGCCACCTTACCACAGCCAAGGACCCGAGGACCGGTCCGCGGACCTCACCTCGGACCTCGGACGGGTCCGTTCTCCCGGATCGACCCGACCTTCAAAGACCCAGCCCAGATCGGCGTGGGGCTTGTTGGTCGCAGACTTGCAGTCCTCGGTTTCGGCGGGGGCGGGTCTTGTACTCGGTACTCGGTACCCCGAACGTCTAACGGGTCGAAGGAAGGGACGTGCGGAAACCACGGTCCACCCACGAGACGTGAGCCGGAACTCCGGAGTTGTTCAGGTGGAATGCAACCATGGGACCCCAAACACGACCTATGGGACCTATGGGACTGACACTGGGACTGACATTTGTTCAGTACAAATGTTGCCTGTTACATTGGCGTGGTTGACCTGGGGTCCAGTCATACATGGAGTGTCTGGGTTTTACTGGTTGGTGGTTTCAACTCGCTTGAGCAATATTTCAACTCGCTTGAGCAATATGAGGTCAGTGGTTTCAATCATACAGGTCTTGGAATTCTTTGAGCAGGCGGTCTGGAGACTTCTTAGCCCCCCCTCCACTTCACAGGGTGGCAAAAGCCCAGTGTCCCCAGTTAGATCAAACACCGGATGCCACACGGTGGGCCAGTACTTCGACTGGCAAGCCAATGGGTTTTGGTGGTTCCAAGCCCGTCCAACAAGTCTGCGGGCCTCAAGCCCAAACTGGGAAACACGCTTGTGACTACTCAAGCCACTCCATCATCCAAGCAAACTGACATGAGGCACCGTTGAACAGCAATGGTTGAGGCACTGGTGACTTCGCAGTTCCATCTGGTTGGATCCATGTTGCAACCTCGCCTGACACAAGCCCATATAAAACCCCATAATTAATATAAGAATGTTCCAAAATGGACACACCTTTGATACCACATATATCATACATCCACATACTGCATGTCCAAATCTCACATGACTCCGGGCTTCCAAGGCATCAAACAAACATCCTCCGACCCGGCGGTCCCCCCCACGACAGGCTCTTCAAACAGCGAAAACCACCGACAGACCGATCTCCGTCCGGCTGCGCCTCACATGTTGCATGGTAGATTGGCAAAGTGAGTCTCCTTCATGAAAGAACAGTTGTCAAAAGGTCTTCCGCTGAGTTTTTTCCCAAAACCCAGACACGACCCATGGGACTGCCGGACTGCCGAGAAACGGCCAGGGGTGGTTGACGGGCACCATGGAGTCTTTGCCAACAGTTAGTTCGATGTCTGATGAAAACGACAAATACCAGGACCCTCCTGGCCAGGCTGTTTGGAGACCCGACCACAGGTGGTTTCTGGACACCGGACTTGTCACCAGGAAACACCTGTAGAGTCGGGTGCTGGTAGTTGCCAAGGTTCGGAGAGCACCTCGCACTTGGCAGCAAAGCGTACCGCCAGGTCCTGGGAACGGACGCGGGTGGAACGTGATTCAGGCGGCGGCCGCGGAGCCAATGGAACCTGTATACCAAAACACCCGGGCCGCTTCCATTGATAGCCCCTTAGAGGTTTGAAGGGGTGTCCATCAACCACCCCGATAGGTGGGTCCTGGTGGTCTTGGTTGAGATGGGCTTGCGGAGTTCATCGGTCTGCCATGGGCCCCATGGGCCGACTCTACACGCCCACGAAACGATGAGAAATCAGGTCCTTGTTGTCTCAACGATCTGGCCTGGCTTTTGTCTACTACGCCACACCCAATCCCTGCCACCCCTAGGCCCTAGACCTGATAGTTTTTGTGGGATGTGTGTGTCTTCCCTTTTTGCGTTCCATAAGCCGATCAGGCGTCACATGACCCACCCAACCCACCTCAAGCTACAAGATGCTACCAGTAGGCAGTTCTTTCTGCGAAGGTCGCTAAAAAATAGCACCCCACCCCAACAAGCACGTCATGTCTCCTTGTGCTCCCCCGGCTTTGGCCGTTGCAGCTCTTCTAAGGTCTGCATCAGCAAGCGTTCCGCTGCCGCCTCCGCCGGGGGCGGTTCCGGCTGTGGGGAGGAGGAACCGCACCGGCGCTTCTGGGCCGATTCGCACGGGAACCATGATGACAGTATGTGAACGTATGTTGAAGTGGCAACCCAGCATGTGTGTTTATTGAATTCTTTACTCAGGGCGTGCAGGATGCGTTTAAGAATGGAAAATAAAGGCGTGGTAACCTCAGTGTGCCTCCAATGAATGGACATTGTAATTATGCTGCCGGTCGATGATGTTAATGGTGTTGTTGTTCAGGTGATGGGTGAGGATCCAGTGGCGCCGCTCCTTGCGCCTGCGTGCGTGAGGCCTTTCTGCGCGCCAGGGAATCCGCCTCACTCACCTCAGCTGGAGCCTGTTTTTGAAGGAATCCCAGTCACACCCTGCCAATGGTGTGGTGGGATGGCGGCTGCTTGAGGGAGGAGAAGCGGCCGCCGGGGAGTTGTGCTGTGCTTCCTGGCTGTAGGGGCCCTATGGAGGCCTAGGACCAAGAAGTGTCGGGTTGTCCAGGTGACCCCGACACAGGAATGAGCTGGCATGTTCCGGGCAGCTGGCATATTGCCTCACCAGTCATGGGCGTCGGAACACCGAGAGGAGTCCAACCTAGAAGTGTTCGGCCATCCAGCCGTGACCCAGGCCCATTTAGCATGAAACTCTGCTTTCGTCTTGCTGTGGATCGGGAAAACAGGTGGTCCGGGAGAGAAATCCCAAAACGGATTCCCAAACAGAACCTCACAACAGCGTATGCTGGGAGGTACCATTGTGGGGCCACCTTAGAAAGAAGCAAGTTGCATTGGTGGTTGTATCTCCTACATGGCTGTGGGTCAAACCGAGGATACGAGTACCTTGGTTGACCTGGAAGGTCAACCTATATGGAAGAGCTCCCTGGCCACCAAGAGGAAGTCCTCATGCAAGTCCTCGTCCTCGTCCTCGTCCCACCCCGGTATA